TTCTTTTCTCACCCCCACCCCTTTACTATGATGAACTGGCTATATAGACTATTATTATACTATGCTTAGTATGCGATGATAAATTATACCTATTCTGAAATTTCGCCAAAGGTCAAGTGCCATCTGTGCTGGCAACTGGCTTTGTAGCCAATGTGCTATCCGTGGTCCCTTCGATATGCCAATCTGAACAGAAATCAATCAGAAAGAATGATCATGGAGAAGGAAATCGAAAATCATTCAAAGTTAAAAAAATATGTATCTCTACGATGTCCTCCCGGACATCCGTTAGAATTGGAACGATACAGAGAACAATGAACATTAGTATGACCCTCACAAATTGAAAATTGGTCGGGAAAAAAAAAGGATTTTTTTTTTTTTAAATAATAGTACTAGAGTCTAGAGTCTAGAGTCTAGAGACATATATATGTTGTCAAACAGAACTACCCGGTCTATATACACATTGTGACATCATATCTATGAACTAAAAGAGCGCACTTTGCGAAACAAACGTGAAAAAAAAAAAAAAAAAAAACAAAAAAAACCCATGAAGAGCACATTGAACCATTCATTTTTCTCATTCTTCTTTTCACTCTCCCCCCCCATCTTATCTGGATCTCGGCTGCGGACAAGCACTTCTGCCCTCCTTCGCTGGACTCTCCTTCAAATGACCGCTAACAAGGTTTCAAAACTCCACACGTTTAGGCAAGCAACACATTTCAGTCATTTGACAAATAGGTCTGGGACTCTGGGGACAGTTCAGTTCCAGCTGGCCTAGTTCCGTTGGTACACCCCCCCGGGACCAAATTGTTGAAATACAGACCAGGTGCTGAGTTCAGACTCCATTGGCAGCAGATGAGTAAACATACACTGCCATTCTGAAATAACCTATACCCAGTTAGCTCTGTGGTGATATCTCAAGGTCGTTGCCCCCTTAAAAAAAAAAAAAAAAAGGTCCGGGGACAGTCCTGGCTTGACCTTGAGAACTTTGAGGAAAAGGGTAGGTTGTTACGATAATAGGTGTTTGAAGAAGAAGCTACTTGGCCCGCCAAAGTTCCAGGGGGTCTTGATCAGTGTGAGGTACTGTTGGTGTAGGTGCTGCTTGGGCTATGTATATCATTTGTGAATGCAGGTGGTGGTTTGTATATTGTAATTTGTAAGGCAATATTTTGGGAATGGGATGGCTTTTTGTGGAGGTCTCACATAATATAATGTTAGGCATTCTCAGATTCTGGCCACTAACATTAACCAGCTCTTCACTTTGACTTGTTCTGTTGCAGGAGGAGAAGTTCATGCAGCGTAATCAGCTGCTGCATCTCAGGTGAGATTGGCAGCCTTCCTTTGTTCTTGATTTTTGTTTTATTTATCTATTTGTTTTCTATCAAGGGCTTACCCACGAACTTAGGTGTGTTTGTCTGTTTCCTTCAGGACTGCAACCCATTCTCTGTTTGCTAACGTTTGGTTACATTTGTGTACCATTCAGGCACGTTGCCTGGGTATGTTCCTTCTTTTCTCTTGTTTTTTTTTTKTTTTTTTTTTTTGTTTTGTTGTTGTTGTTATATTGAGTCTGCACCTGCTGCAGCCATTGCCCACGGCAGATGGGGCCCCGTGGATAAAACCGTTGGATAAGCAGTTGTGCTGGATGAGAGCGGAGTGTGCGACTACTGCCTGTGTGGCGAATGCCTTGTGTGTGTGTGTGTGTGTGTGTGTGTGTGTGTGTGT